GGCTGGCCCCCAAAGCCCCCTTAATATCTCCACACTTCCCCCTTAACCACCCTGGACTAGCCCCCAACACTCCCTTATCCCCTCTCCACCACCCCCTTAACCACTTTGGGCTAGCCCCCAAACATCCCCTTAACCCCGCTCCACCACTGCCTTATCTCCCCAGGCTAGCCCCCAAACGCCACTTTAACCCTCCTACTCGCCGCACCCTTAACCCTCCCGGGCTAGTCCCCAAATGCTCCCTTAACCACCCTCTGCCATCCCCTTAACCACACTGAGCTAGCCCCCAAAAAACCCTTACCCCCCCACACCGTCCCCTTATTCGCCCTGGACTAGCCTCCAACTGCCCCTTTAACCTCCCGCCGCTCCCTTAACCACCCAGGGCTAGCCCCCCATGCCACTCCCTGAGCCACCCTCAAACACCTCCTTAATCCCCATGCTAACCCCCCTTAATCCCTCTGTGGTACACATTCTGTGCAACACCCTTAAACTTTCCATGCAAGCCCCCCCAAAACCCCTCAAACCCCATAGGCTAGCCCCCTGTGCCATGCCACCCACTTAATCTCTCTTAAATCCCTGTGCCAGCCCCTCCACCAAATGCCTATGCCAACTCACTCCTCAGGCTTAACCACTCTCCTGCTAGTGTCAAATCTCTCCCTAGCCCCCACCCCCAACCTATTCCCTGCTGCCAGCGCTTAACCTGTCCCTGTCCACTCTGCCATGCCAAACACTCTCTACCAAAGAAAGCATTCCGCTGCCACTGCCAAACCCCACCTGACCACCAAACTCCTCTTTAATGGTGTACCAAACCACGTTCAGCTGCTGGTGCCAAGTCCTTCCTTACTCTCTTCTCCAATCACTCCGCTGCCACTTCAGCCATCCCCATCTCTAGCCTGCCCCTTACCTTCTACTACAGGTTGAACCTCTCTAGTCGACCCTCTGGACCTGACGAGTGCCAAACCACGGGAGGTCAAAGCAGAGTGCCAGTGGGTCTTCATAGGTGTGGGTCTCCATAGGTGCAGTACCCCCAGGCTTTGTGCCCAGCATGGTCCCTCGCCCAGGGGCCCCACTGCCACCCGGGGTCCTGGCCGCTGGCCCCCCACCTGGGGGCTCCAATGCTGGCCCCAGGTCCTAGCTGCTGGCCACTCGCCTGGGGTCTCAGTCGCCAGCCCCAGGTCCTCCCTTTCCCTTCCGGAGATTGAACACCACGAATCAGCTGTTCGCGGCACTCCGGAGGCACTGGGAGGGAGGAGGAGTTGTTGGTAAGTGCGGGGCTGCCGGCGTGCGAGTAGGGTGACCAGACAGCAAATGTGAAAAATCGGGACAGTGGGTGGGGGGTAATAGGAGCCTATGTAAGAAAAAGACCCCAAAACCAGGACTGTCCCTATAAAATCGGGACATCTGGTCACCCTACGTGCGAGAGACATGAGGGGAGAGCTTGGCACTGGTGGATGTTCTGCACCCACTAATTTTTCCCCATGGGTGCTTCAGCCCCAGAGCATCCATGGAGTTGGCACCTATTCCTGGCCACAGATGTTGCCAGACCAGGGAGTGCCGGATTAGAGAGGTTCAACCTGTACTGTCTGCTTCCTCTCAAACTAACCCATTTACTGCTACTGCTTGCAACCCCTTCCCTAACCAATCCTCCTCCCACTAAACCACTCTGCTTCTGTGTAGTGACACTGATCACTGGTTAGCATTAGCCTTTCCCTTTTATTGTCCACAATTATTTCTTCTCCTCTGTTTTTTTCCTCCTTGTTTCTGTGTTGAACCCCCCCAGGCTCTTGCTCTTTTTTTCCTTTGGTCAGTGTTGTTACACAGTGAGCTTGAAGTTTTAAAATAACTCCCCTTGGGAGGAGGGATGGGGGAAGCAACTGGATTGCATTTCGCATTGTTGGCTTTCTTCCCAGGAGGAGAAGGTTTGGCACAGTGTGTGCGCGCGCGCACACACACTCACAAAATGCAATTCTGCCTGAATAAGGATCAGGGCAGGGGAATTTATCTTTCAAGTGAAGTACCTTCAGTATCTCATTTGTGTGTCGGACCTTCAGTGTGCCATTGCTCAGGCTATGTTTGTTCTTCTCTTCAACTTGTTGAAATGTTGGATGACAGTAGGTTTAGGCCTGTGTCCTGCTGTTCCAGTTCAGTCACTACAGTTTAAACACGTTGGGCATGTCTGAATATGACTTAGAAAAATAGATAATCTCAGTCATGAAAAATATAGCTGTTAGCTAGCTAGGAAAACATACCCCTGTAAAGGTGTCATTGGTTCTTTTGGCAGTACTTACCCCTTTGTAGAAGAAGATTGTAGGTTCAACACTCAACTAGGACTTTGGTGCAGACCTGATGCTGACACTGCAATGTAGTAGCAAAGAGGGGAGGAGCTGCAGCATTAGAGGCGGTGCCCTTTGGATGAGAGCCTTTTCTGCTTCTTTCTGTGGGTTGTCCAGCTGGAAATTAAAGATCTCCTAGCACTTCTTGAAAAGAGTACATTATAACCTTACTGCGGTGGGGTCTAGATAGGTTAATCTTAGTGCCTACATAATCCATGGCATAATCACACACAAAACCATACCAAAGAGAACAGGATCATAGTGGCATAATTACAACAGTCTATATAATCAAAATATAGGTTAAAACAGAAAATTACTTTTTGGTCTAACCCAAAGTTTACTTCTCCATACACACAGAAAACTTCAACCACTGCAGCTCAACCAAACCTAAACACACCAATTCTGCCTCAGTTTCTAGGCCCAAAGCTATTACACACCCATCTCTCTGAGAATCCTCTGAGCAGCCTTTCTTTCTGTCTCACCACCAACTTTGGGAGGGGAAGCTAGCTGCCTAAGTTTATCTTTACAGCTACATTCTCCATTTTAATTCAACAATATGGCACATCATGGAAGAGCAGATGAACGGAAAACTAACACAATCAAGGTGATTTTGGTTGGGGTTACATTTGCAATCCAAACTCTTCAGAATTATGCTGTCTAATCTCTCTAGATATACCACAAAAACAAAGGAGTCCGGTGGCACCTTAAAGACAAACAGATGTATTTGGGCATAAGCTTTCGTGGGTAAAAAACCCAGTTCTTCTTCAGGTGCATCTGAAGAAGTTGTTTTTTTACCCATGAAAGTTTATGCCCAAATAAATCTGTTAGTCTTTAAGGTGCCACCGGACTCCTTGTTGTTTCTGTGGATACAGACTAACACGGCTACCCCCTGATACTAGATATACCACAGTCATCCCTGTGACATCTAAGTGCCTTTACAAATATACAAAAAGTAAACAAGACCTTTGATTCATCATTTTCTTGACTTGGGTAAGTTTTGTTTTTTTTTTAAATGGGTGCCTAATATTACTCTCCTTAGTCCATATTTACACACCTAAATAAGTGGCCTAGTTTTCAAAAATGTTGAGCAAAATTAACAATTGGAAACCACTGGGTATTCAGCACCTTTGAAAGTCAAGCAGCTTATTTAGATTCCTAAATACAGAATTAAGAGACTACATTTAGGCGCCCATTTTTAAAATCCTGGCCCTTAAATCAGGCAGTTCAACCCTACTGCTGTCGCTTCTGTTACATCCTAGTGCTTGAATTGTCTTGTCTGTCGAAAAGACAGACCTTGTCTGCAAGCTTCAGGGTTTAAGCCAACCTCTAACTAGTAGAGCAGATTATCCCACATCTACCTATTGTGAGGTTTCTTGCACCTTCCTCTGAAGCCTCTAGTGCAGGTCACTTGAAGACATGTTACTGGACTAGATGGACCATGAGTCTGATCTAGCACAGCAGTTTCTTTGTTCCTGTTATCAGTGATAGATGTCAAATTCTAGTAACACTTTCTAATGACTAGCAGCAGGCACTAGAAGAGCTAATGTTAGAAGTGCCATGCTTGTTGCTTTTATTTCTAATGGGACAGCCTGTCATGCTGTTCTGTGGTTATTTTTCAGGATACTTAAGAGATTTAAAATTACTGCCTACCCGTCTAGGTTTTTTTGGTACATTAAATATTTCATATTTTACTGCTGTAATGCAGTGACTAAAATTCAGGTTATTTTACTGTTGAGGCAGTGTGGTGATGAGGTACAAGCAGAGGAGTGGGAATCAGCAGATTCAAAGTTCTAATTCCAGCTCTGCTACTGACTTATTGTATGAACAGCTTCACCTTTCTTTTTTTCCCTATCTGTAGAATGATAACAATCACTTACCGCTCTTACAGGATGTCAGGTGAATTGATTAGTTAAGAAGCTAGATCCTCAGAAGAACCTCATGGAGCTGTGCTGATTCACACCCATTGGGGATCTAGCCCAGTGTTTGTACAATACTTTGAAAGTGTTTTCTACTGTATAAGTGCTAATGTACAATAAAAATTCATCTAATAACAAATCCTTAATTACCAAGTAGATCTGAGCAACAATTTAAAAACCAAGTGCAGAATGTATATGTGTGTGTGTGTGAGAGAGTACTTATAGGTGTGGAGGGGAATGCTAAGGGGGGGAAAATTTACATTGGTGGACAATCTAAAGAAAATGGCAAGTAAAATAACGAAAAGATTGTACCCAGGGTGAAAAATACATTGTTGCCCATTAAAGAATTGCTGCTAGTGAACAGATGAAATTTTTTAAGTTTGCAAAAGCAGCACCATTTCTTTCATCTCTGTTTTTATTCCACGTCGCTTAGGTTCACACTGAACTTTTCTGCTGTAACATTCATTGATCAACTGCTGCATTGTTGAAGGCTCTCTCACAATAGACTTCTGCTGACTCATCACAGAAGTGTGTTTATTTAATATTTTATTCGTTCTGCTTCTTTCCTCCTCTTCAGGTGTCAATTTTGGAAGGACTGAATACTGACTAATGAAAGGAGCTAGAGAAACTCATTGCTACTAATTCACTGCAATCATAATTATCACCCTAACAGATGCTGGAAGCTGCACCAGCCCTCCCATGCAGTAGAACTCTGGATTAGCTTCTCTGCTGTCAATGGTGAGTCAGTGGCAGAATCACTGGTTGACTTCCCCCATGTAACATGTTTGTGGTAAAACAATTTGATAAAATTGTTTTTCTGTATACACGGGTTATAACACCCCCCCCCACACACACACAGTTTATAACCATGTTTAAACCCTGGTGTCAATGAGTAAGCCATGCTAGAACACACTTCGCCATAACTGTTATTTTGTAGGATAGGCAGGGTCTTAAAATCAACACCCTTCTAAATAGCTCTTTAAAAATAGTTTATGAGGAAGTCACATTCCCTGCTGCTGCCCCATCCATGCCCTCTACATACAGTTGTAGGCCTCTGTGCTGCCCAAGTCGTTATGGTATGACATTACAGACCCAGCCACCAGTCTTTTTTCCTCTCTTGAAATGTTGTTGCCGTCATCAACTATCAGCTCTTGCTTTTGACCCACAAGCCTGAGCCAAATTCTGTTCTCTGATCAGTGTAAATCTGGAGACACTCCCATGACGTCAGTTGAGTTACTCCAGATTTTCATCAGTGCAAGAGAGAGGAGAAAATGTCTCAAGGACTCTCACTAAAGTTTGAATAGCTTAATCTCTTTCCCTTCCTCACTCCTGTGGTTGTGTGTTTTTGTTTGTTTGTTTTTGTTTTTTTTAGGAGACACTGAATGGGTGCACAGGAATAGAGCAGGGAACAGAAGTTGTTGGCAGCATTGCAAAAATATTTTGTTTCTACTTGGCATTTTATCAAGGGACAGAGCAGGAAAACCAGGTATAGAGCAAAGAGTAACAAAGCAAAAACCAGCAATTATAAACTGATGCAAACCTTGTAAGTGATATGAACTCTGTTCCCAAGGTCGAAAGAGTGGTTCTGCTTGGCCATTTTGGTTTTATCTCCATTTCTAAATGTATCCAGCACCTAGGAGCCCTGGAGAGGTCAGGTGACTATTTAACTGGGATTCATTTAAAGAGGTAGAGTAACTGCAGTTGAAACTGGGTTCATCTGAAAGTAGGTAGGCAAAATAAACTTGTAAATGTTGCAACAAAGCCAACTAACAGCAGCATGTAAAGATCATAATGTACTGATTTAAAATGGCTTTACCTGCCCACTCTGACCAGTGTTTGATACCACGGTGATGAAAACTGGATGGATGGCAGTAGTTTAATATGCAACTAAAATCTTGCCTCTGTTAGACATATCTAAAGTTTTTAAACTAGGAATTCAAAGTGCCTATGTTGTGAGGTGGGATAGGGAAGAAATAACAGTAAACACATAGCTACTGTCCTCCTGGCCTAACTGCGCTGGATGCTACTCCAGACAGAGTAAATGGAGGGCAGAGGACCAGTAATTCTGGGTAAAGGAGCCCTGATTTCTGAAACACGCCAACACTAGATTTTGCAACAAAAACAGAAAATTTGGTGACAATAGAAAATGTCAAAAGGGCAGTGGGGAGGTTAATAATTAAAGTACTGATAGAATCAAAACCTCTGCTTTTAAATGTTTTAACATTTATTTTATGTGGCCACAACCATTTGGTGGGGATAAAAGAGAGTTGCAATTTAGGTGGTCAGGTGGGGTTTGGCAGGTAGGAGAGGGAGTCAGTCCATTGGCTGAGTTTTCGAGGCCTTACACTCAACTTGATGATGTTTCTCTGTTTAGATGTAATGTAATAATGTTTGTACATCACAGCAAATCAATTCAAAAATTTAAGGGAATATTTTAGGTATCAGTGGCCAGAACACTACTGATTTGGGGTGAAATTGGGGGAAAATGAAAGGTGGCAATAGAGGACACACAGAACCCATGGCATCTACTTAGCAGAGCTACCGGTTTCAATGACATTTGTAACTGTTAGTTGGTTGCAGTTGTTAACACCTTTCAGCATAATATCCTTCATCTTAGAAGGGAACAGGGCGGGTAGCACACAAGGAGCTTGGAGTATGTGAAAGAATGCAAGGAGCCCTTGGTGTGTGCAATGAGCTTGGCCTACAGAAGGTACAAAGTTTATGATTCTTCCCCCTCTCCTCCCGGCAGTTTTGGGGTAATGGCAACTCGGTATCTTTGATCCCATGAGAGAGTTAGGCAGGAGCTTTAGTCAACTTGGAATGAGGATCTTTCTGTCTTATTCCCCCTTTATGGCTTTTGAAGTCTTCTCTATCCCTGCCTTCTGTTACTCAGGATAGTGGTAGAGATGTGCTAACATGCTTGTTTGTATTTTTGGGGAGAGGTTGCAGGGTGATCATACTCCCAGCACTACCTGCGTCTTGGGGGAATGAATAGAATAGCAGGGTGCCAGCCACCACACCACCTCTAGTCCCATCACCCCCGTGGGGCTTTCAATGCCTAGGAGAGCAGTATTCTGCAGGGTCCCCAACTAGCAAATTCCAGTCCAAACCCTCTCTAAACACCCCCACTCTTTTCAGTCTCTTTATGGTATGAAAGTCATTCTATCCCTTTAATCATTTTTGTCACCCATTTCTAGTTCAGTTTTATTTCTGCTACAGAAATGGGACCAGAACTGAAGACAATATTCTAGATTCAGCCAGACATATAATGGCATAATATTTTTAGGATTACTTTGTCTCCTTTTTATACATCATAATAGTGGGTGGTGGGAGGAGTTTGTGCAAAGCTTTGATCGGGCTGCACTAAATTGTGCATCATTAGTACTTTACATTTTAAAAACTCCTACACTAAATGAGGAAATGATTGCTACAGTTTCTTATCATGGAAGCAAATAATCTATTACCCCAAACACTAAACCCTAGAAATGTCAGTGTGTTGTCTCCCTACGTGGAAGATAACCAAGAGATTCAGTTGCAGGTGGGATAGATATTGCACTGTTTAATCTCTGTTCTAACATTTATCAAGTAATTACCTCCAGAGAACAAGCATTATACTGCTGTGTTCTTCAGATGACCACAGTACATTATTACCAAAAGAGAAATGACTTTGTTTATGATGGAGGCTATAGCTAGACAATGATGAATATGACTATGCATTTTTTGCAGTGGAAAACAGAAGAGATGGTAGTGGTTTCTTTACAGTGGAAACCTCACTATGCCCATATTCCAGTGTAATGTGTTGATGGGTAATGAAGGAAGACATTTATATGCTGCTTTGCTTTGTTGTGAGACTATTGCGGGAGTGTTAACTAAGCAAAAAATGTGTACAATTGGAATGACTATATGAGTCAGGAGGTTAAATTGCCTTGCTGACACAGAGTTGATTATCAAACTTTCTGGTGTCATTAGCTATTTATCTATACAGCATTACAAGTGAGTTTGTCATATTAAAGAACAATAAAAATAGGTCCCTAGCTTGACATACTTGTGTAATTTAGAAAACACCCCCACCAACCACTACCACACTCGATTTATTATCAGATGATGGGGCAGTTGCATTATTTACAGCTGCCATAATCAGCAAGGTATGTATATTCCAAATGAGCTTCGGCACATCTGGTAGGCTAAATTCACACAGGTCTGCACTAGTTTCTGCTTGGCAGAAGTGCCCTGATGAGCAGAAGGTCTTTCTGAGAAAGGAGTTATAGGGGTATAAGTATCTATAACTTCCTCCTTTATTACACAGACCACATTAGCATTGCTTCCAAAATAAACAGTACTGGTGGGGAGGCAAGAGTGGCTAGGATGTGCTGATTTAGCACACCCCTCAGCAGCCTCTACTAACAGGACTTGGAGGAAGGGCCCATGCAAATTTACACTTTCTCATTGGCAAGTCTTATGGTCTGGTTTCAATAATTTCTTCAGTTAGTGAAGATAGCCCTAGCAAAGCACCTGCTTAAATGTTTTGCTGAATTGGAACAATAATGTGTATGCAAAAGGATTAATACATTTATTGGCAAAGAAAATGTCCAACCTTCTGTCCTGGCCAGAGATGGCTCTTGCAACCTCTAAGGTTTTACCTTTAAAACTTATTTAGTCCGTTTTTTGAAATATAATTTCAATTCTACACTCATTTGAGCAAGCAATGAGCAATTTTGAATAAATATAAAAAGAAAATAAGGATGGCCCAGTGGTTAGAGTTCTAGCCTGGATTAAATTTCCAGCTCCACCAGACTTCCTGTAACCTTGGGCAGGTTCCTTAGTGTATGTCTGCACGACAAAGAAAAACCCACGGTTCCGAGTCTCGGAGCCCAGGTGAATTGACTGGGGCTTGCAGGGCTTGGGCTGCAGGGCTAAAAATAGCAATGCAGACATTCTCACCCATGCTCCAAGACCCTCCCCCTTTACCAGTTTTCAGAGGTTGGGTTCCAAACCAAGCAGGAATGTCTACATTGCTTTTTTTATCCCCACAGCCTGAGTCCAAGCCAATTGACCTGGGATCTGAGACTTGGTGCCATGCAGGGCCGGCTCCAGGCACCAGGCAACCAAGCACATGCTTGGGGCGGCACCTGGTAAGGGGCAGCCAATCTTGGGGTGGCTGGGGGCAGCGCGGCATTCCGGGGGGGGGCAGGCTCCGGCGGCACGGCGCTTGGCGGGGGGG